AATCGAACCCAGGGCCTCATGCTTGCAAGGCAAGCACTCTACCACTGAGCCACCTTCCCAGCCCCCCCCCCTTTTTTTTTTAAAGTTTGTTACTTTAGTAAGTAAGCCAATGTAAGATACTGTATATTATGGTATTGGTTAACTTTTTTACTTGATGTTTAAATATTTGCTTTAGAATAAGCATTGCTGAGGCGATTACAGCTAGCTTGCTGTATAAGATTTTATTTGTTTTAGTGAGAGTTTTGGGTAGTTTCCAGAATAGAGCACAGTTGTGTCTCAGGTCAAGCACATTTCTTTCATGGTTGTTGGAAGAATATGATTGTCCCATGGCCCCTAAATCACAGCCTTTGGCTCATCTGTGTGGTTTCTGTATCAATTTGTCCAATATAAACTAATTCTCATAGTGTTACTGTGTTTTGGTTTAATAGGGAAGAAATAGGGAAAGCAGCATATATTTTTCTTTCTCCTTTTTCTTTTCTTTGAAGGTAGGGTCTCACTATATATCCTAGTCCAAGCTAATCACCAAGTGGTAAGTAACCCAGTACGAGCTGGACACTTAACTGGTGATGTTTCGGCCTAACTCCTCATATCTGTTCTACTACATCTGGACCATGTAGGTTTTTATTTTTTAAATGTTATTTGTGTTTCTATTCAGAATGAAAAAGAATATTGTTATCTATCTTTTGGAGCTTACGAACATGCTACTGAGTAAGATCATACTAATCTTAAGCAGAGAAGTAACGTTAGCAAGTGATTTTGATTCACTGCTTGGGCCAGCTGCAGAAATCAGATCTTTTAAATACTTGCTCTAGTAGTCATAGCCATTTGGCTTCAAATAAACAAACAAAATAACTTTGCTCTCTATTTTTGATGTTAGCTGGCATTCTGTAAACCTAGAACAAATCCACTGGAAAAATACAGAAGTAATTTTTTTTATTGCTTTGGAACAGTAAAAAAAAATTACAGGAACAAAAAGAGGAAGGATATTAAGAAATACAAAAATCTAGGAGAAAATGTTCCATTAATATCCTCATTTTTTTTTAAAGTTACAGTTCATTGCTCTAGACATTTGAGTAAATAAGTGCCAGTAAAGCTTAATAAGGAAAAGCTGGCCATGTCCTATTTCTGTCACAATATGCTAAACTTTTCAGTATGTTATTAACTAGATAAATGGTCAATGGAAAATCCATTTGACATAAAGGCACTTTTTTTTAGAACAACATTAAAGGGACCTCAGTTTTTTGATTGTCTTATTTTACCACTAACTAGTTGCCCCAAAGCTGCCATGAACTAGTTTATATCTTATTTCAAAATGAGTCCTAAATTTTATTTTATTTTTTTTATTTTTTGGGTCTGGTCGTGGGGCCTGTACTCTGGGCCTGGGCACTGTCCCCCAGCTCTTCAGCTCAAGGCTAGCGCTCTACCACTTGAGCCACAGCGCCACTTCCAGCTTTTTTCTTTTTTTGCTTATGTGGTGCTGAGGAATCGAACCCAGGGCCTCATACATGCAAGGCAATCACTCTACCACTGAGCCACCTTCCCAGCCCCTCTAGCTTGTATTTTTGTTGCTTGTTTTGGAGATGGAATCTTGCCAATTTTTCTGCCCAGACTGGCTTCAAACTGATTCTCCAGCTGGGCACAGGTGGCACATGCCTGTAATCCTAGCTACTCAGGAGGTTGAGATCTGAGGATTGTGGTTCAAAGCCAGCCCGGGCAAGAAAGTCTGTGAGACTCCAATAAGCCACTCAGAAAACCAGAAGTGGTGCTGTGGCTCAAGTGGTAGAGTGCTAGCCTTGAGCTGAAGAGCTGAGGGACAGCGCCCAGGCCCAGAGTTCAAGCCCCACAACTGACCCCTCACAGAAACTGATGCTCCAAATCTCAGACTCCTAATGAACTAGGATTACAGGCTCCTGGCTTGCTAAACACTTCAATATGACCTAGTTTAACAATTGACCCAGTAATGTCCTTTAGAGAATTTTCCTCTTCAACCCAGTTAGGATTCCATTTAGTTACCATGTCTCCTGAACTTCTTTTAGTCTGGAGCATTTATCTGATGAAGGTATTTATTTAGTAAAGGTGCTGAGTATTTGTTGGAGTGGGAGGATGCTTAAAGCGAAAGTGAGAAGAGAGTGAGTACCACCTAGAATTCTACATAGAAACCTTTGCTTCCTGGTATTTCCATTTGTTTTGCCAAACTATTTAACAAGTTATTGTAACACCTACTAGTAATAAGCCAGTGCATTTTCACCTAGGTCCTGGATTTCTGTTAATTTGTGTTGTATTTTTGTTGGTTTTCATGTGTATAATATGTCTGTCTTTCGCAATACCTTAGTTAATAGAGATACCATCCCTTTCTTCTACCTTCTTTTCCCTTTACTTCAATGTAGTAGATAGAACTCAGGGTCTTGCACATGTTGGACAAGTACTTTACCACAGAGCGACATATCCAGACCTGTGTGTGTTTTTTTTCTTTTTGTTTGTTTTTAGACCTTGTTTATTTTGAGACAAAGTCACCCTATGTTACCCAGGTAGCTTGAAATTAAGATGTTTTTACCTCACCCTGAGTGTTGGGGTTACATACATGAGCTACTACCACCCCTCCTTGGCTGCCTTTAAAAATTTTTTTTTGCTGGACCTGGGGCTTAAACTCAGGACCTGGGTGCTGTCCCTGAGCTTTTGTGCTCAAGGCTAGTACTCTGCCACTTTTGGCTTTTTGGTAGTTAATTGGAGGTAAAAGTCTTAGGGACTTTTCTGCCCAAGCTGGCTTTGAACTTAGATCTCAGCCTCCTCAGTAGCTAGGATTACAGGTGTGAGCCATTGGTGCTTGGCTTCTAACTTCTCTGCACAATACCTTAATAATAATAAAATTACACATATATATTTAAAGCATAGCTATGCCTTTTACACTTTTATATGTAGGTCAGATCACTATTTCCTCACAAAGGTTCTAAATCAAAGGTCCAAGCTCCTGGAAAAGGCTTGCATTTAAATTTTGGATCTTCTTATTTCATAATCTTCTCTTTTGCAGCTGGACACAGAGTATAGAAAAAAGTGGGATGCTCTGGTGATCAAGCTGGAGGTGATTGAGAGGGACGTGGTTAGTGGTTCTGAGGTTCTTCACTGGGTAACCCATTTCCCTGTGAGTATTCTTATTTGTGGGTTTACTTCTATCAAGTCCATGTGGTACACATCACTAATCCTGTCCCTTCATTTCTTAGTATCCGATGTACTCTCGGGATTATGTTTATGTTCGACGATACAGTGTGGATCAAGAGAACAATGTGATGGTGTTGGTGTCTCGGTATGTATAGTTGTATGGCTCTTGCCAAGTTCCCCTTAGCTGTGCCTTTCTTTCACTCATCGGACTCTATATGCTATGGTATTGTCAGCACACCTGGAAATTTTCCAGGGAGGTTTTCTAGCAGCCAATTGCCCCATCCATCCCAGCTGGAAGAGAAGTGGGTTGTGACTGGTTAGGAAGACTGAAAGGATACAAGATTTTAATTTAAAAAGAAGTGCTACATAGTGAGCTGTACATTGCCAATAGTAAAGGGAACTACCTCATTTTTCACAACTTAGTTTGTAATTAAAAAAAAAAAAATTCAGTTGGCCAGGAACTGGTGGCTCACCTTGTAATCCTAGCTATTCAGGAGGCTGAGATCTGAGAATCCCGGTTCAAAGCCAGCCCAGACAGGAAAGACCATGAGACTGCTATCTCCAGTAAACCACAGGAAACCAGAAGTGGTGCTGTGGCTCAGGTGGTAGAGTGCTCGCCTTCAGCTGAAGAGCTGAGGGACAACACTCAGGCCCAGAGTTCAAGCCCCACGACAGACAAAGAAAAAAAAAATTCAGTTGTACATATATGTTTTTTGCTAAGAATAACCCTGTCTATTGTCTTCTCTTTCCTTGCGTAGTTTGTAATATTCATCTTAGTGATCCATCTGTTTTGTTTTGTAAAGCAGAACCAGCTTTTTAGGTCCTCTCTTTGACCTTAGCTTTGGTTAGCTTACATTTGGTTTTCTTCACTTCCTTGCAGTGCTGTACAACATCCCAGTGTGCCAGAGTCTCCAGAATTTGTGAGGGTCAGATCCTATGAATCCCAAATGGTTATCCGTCCCCACAAGTCATTTGATGAGGTGAGTTTTACTTCTCCCAAGAAATAATGTCTTGATTTTAGAATTTTCTTTCTCTGAACCTAGGGTAGGGGATAAATTACTGGAGGGCAGTAATTCTCAAACTTGGCATGCACCAGAGTCCTCTGGAACTTATTAAAGTACATTACTGGGGCCTAGCCTTAGCATGGCTCCAGAATTTACACTTGGGAAAAATTATTATGGCTAGGCTCAGGTTTTTTATCTGGGAGCCATCTTTTGGAGACTGCTTCTTCAATGACCACTCTAGGATGATACAAATGGAAAATTACCAAATCAAAGTAATGATAACTTGTGGGCTGCCTTTTATCTGAGAGATAGTTAAGAGAAGATAATTTTGTGTATATCAGCTGCTTTCTTCAGGAAATAGAATGAACATGTCACCTGGTAGGCAAAGCGCTAAAAACAGTACTGGATTCCTGCTTCCTTGGCAGTAAAATAGAAGAGCTAGACTAAAGCTCTCACTATTTGAAAATTCTGTGACTTCTTAGAATAGTGGAATGTCTTTTTTTGCTTTTTTGTTTTTGTTTTAAGACTGGTTTCAGAATGTACCTTGGCCTGGATTCAAATTTTCAATCTTCCTCCTCTGCTTTATCCATCCAAGTTCTGGAATTATAGATGTACCACCATGCCTAACTTTCTTTATTTAAAAAAAAAAAGTTTCTGGTGAGTGAGTATATATACCAGTGCCAGTAGTTGGTGACTTTAGTTGTGTTTTGCTTTGTAATGGCTTGGTTTTTCCTTACTGCTTTTGTTTTAGAGTTATGTGGACTCTGTGTGTAGGGGGGGAGTGGGAGTTACTCAGTATCTTGAGCTTTCTAGTCAGGAGCTCTGCTACCTGAGCACATGCATGTCCACAGCCTTTTTTGGTTTCAGTTAAATAGGGTCTGGAGTCAGCTTTGGACCTCTGTCTTCTTACTATTCTTGTGGAGCTGAGAGCACAAGTATATGCTACCACATTCAGGTTATTGATTGAAACTGGTCTTGCTAACTTTTTTTTTTTTTGGTTGGTCGTGGGGCCTGAACTCTAGGCCTAGGCACTGTCCCTCAGCTCTTCAGCTCAAGGCTAGCGCTCTACCATTTGAGTCATAGTACCACTTCCGGCCTTTTCTGCTTATGTGGTGCTGAGTAATTGAACCCAGGTCCTCAATGCATACAGGGCAAGCACTCTACCACTGAGCCATCTTCCCAGCCCCCTTGCTAATGTTTTGCTTGGGCTAGTTCTGAACTACAGTCCTCTTGACATCTGCCTCCTAAGTAGTTACTATATGAGCCTTTGCAGCTGGCTGATTCTGTTCATTCCTATTCTTCTCAAGTTGTTTAATTTATACTATAAAGATTCTTTTACTGTAACAGGCAATGGTTAACCTTAGCATACTGATTTCTTCACTGGAAGATGTGTGTATTTTCTGTGTTTTTTTTTTGGGGGGGGGAGGGAGGCGTGGGGGTTGGTCATGGGGCATGAACTCTGTGCCTGGGTGCTGTCTTGAGCTCTTCAGCTCAAGGCGAGCACTCTACCACTTGAGAGTCTCATAGACTTTCCTGCTGGGGCTGGCTTTGAACTGCGATCTGAACCATGATCCTCAGATCTGAGCCTCCTGAGTAACTAGGATTACATGCATGAGCCACCTGTACCCGGCTTTCTGTGTTTTTGTTTTTTAATGCCAGTCCTGGGGCTTGAACTCAGGGCCTGGGTATTGTCGCTGAGCCAATCTGTGCTCAAGGCTAGCACTCTACCACTTGAGCCACAGTGCTGCTTCTAGCTTTTTCTGTTTATATGATACTGAGGAATTGAACCCAGGGCTTCATGCATGCTAGGCAAGCACTCTACCACTAAGCCACATTCTCAGCCCTTCCTGTGCTATTTTTAAAGCAGTATTCTTTGACTTACAAGTTGCTACTTCTTAGTTGGAGAACTAATTAGAGAATAATTATCAGTTTTATTATTTATTTATTATTTATTTTTTGTCGGCCGTGGGGCTTGAACTCTGGGCCTCGGCGCTGTCCCTCAACTCTTCAGCTCAAGGCGAGCACTCTACCACTTGAGCTACAGCACCATTTCAGGTTTTCTGGTGGTTTATTGGAGATAGGAGTTTCACGGTCTCTCCTGTCAGGGCTGGCTTTGAACTGCGATCCTCAGATCTCAGCCTCCTGATTAGCTAGAATTACAGTCGTGAGCCACCAGCGCCCAGCTTATTTATTTATTTATTTTAAATTCTTGAGGCCAGTTTTACCTCTGGGCCTGGGTGCTGTCCTGTGCCTTTTTTCCCAAGGCTAGCACTCTACCACACTAGCTACAGCTCTGTGTCTGGCTTTTTTGCTGATTAATTGCAGATAAGAGTCTCATGGACTTTCCTGCCTGAGCTGGTTTTGAACCTCGATCTTCAGATCTTAGCCTTTTGAGTAGGTAGGATTATTATAGATGTGAGCCACTGGTGCCTGGCTGTGCTTAGTTTTGCTTTTTTTTTTGTTGTTATTTCCTTTCCTTCATTCTGGCGCTTGAACTCAGGGCTTGGGCACTGTCCTTAAACTTCTTTTGCTCAAGAGTAGTGCTCTAACACTTGAACAACAGACCCACTATGGCTTTTTTAGTAATTTATTGGAGATAAAAGTCTCATGGACTTTTATCTTGAGCTGGCTTCAAATCACAATCCTTAAATCTCATCCTGCAGAGTATCTAGGATTATAGACGTGAGCCACTGGTGCCTGGCTATGCTTAGTTTTTGTTTTTGGTTTTTAAAGAAACAATAGGAATGAGTATAAGCATATTTCGTGTAACTTTTGGTTGATTGCATATGTGGCTGTGAAACAAAGGGAGAGAAAATTTGGTTACATTATAAAAAGAATTATTTACAGTGGGTTATAGCTAAAAATATTTGAAATTTTTCATGCTTTAAAAGACAGAAAAGGAGGTCTGGGAAGGTGGCTTAGTGGTAGAGGGCTTGCCTGGCATGCATGAGGCCCTGGATTCAATTCCTCAGCACCACATAAACAGAAAAGGCTGGAAGTGGCACTGTGGCTCAAGTGGCACAGTCCTAGCCTTGAGCTGAAGGGCTGAGGGACAGTGCCCAGACTCAGAGTTTAGGCCCCACAACCGGCCAAATGGGGTGGGGGGGGGAGATAGAAAAGGAGCTACTGAGGAGGCTGAGATCTGAGGATTGTGGTTCAGAGCCAGCCCAGGCAAGAAAGTCCCTGAGACTCTTATCTCCAATTAAAAAAATAAATCCACCAGAAAACCGGAAGTGGCACTGTGGCTTAAGTGGAAGAGTCTTGCCTTGAGCAGAATTGCTCAGGGATAGTGCCCAGGCCCAACCAGAAAAACCCACAAAAAACAAAAAAACAGGTAGCTCAGTTTGTATTTGACAGATGGAAAGTAGATCCTTTAGCCAAGGTAAGGTGTTGTGTTCAACTGACTTTTTATTTTTGGGAAATTTAAGACATATACAAATGATATTGAAGTAGAAGTAACGGCATAATGAATGTTTTCCCAGCTTCCACACTTAACCAACCCGTGGTCAGACTCGTATTGTCTGTACCCCTTGTACTTTTCTTTCTCATCTGGTACCCTTTCAGTTTTTCTCATTTTTCCTCATATATAATATGAGAAAAATATAGTTTTTTTTTTCAGTACTGGGATTTGAACTCAGGGCTTTGCTATTGCTAGGCTAGCAACTTATCACTTGAGCCACTTCTCCAGGCTAGTCCTCCTCCTGGTTACTTTAAAACAAATTCTAGTTTTGCTGTAGAAGAGTATAAATATTTTAATATTCTAGAGATTCTATAGGTATTTTAATATTTTTAAAAATATTACTTTGATTATATTTTCATAATTATGGCTAAAATAATCAACAGTTATACCTAATATAAAATATCTAATGAGTGTTTAAATTTTCTGTTGCTTTTGATCTATTCTTTTAAAATTTTATTTTGTTTCAATTTATTAGTTTTTAGCCTATTTGAATCAAAATCCAAATAGAACTATACATTGAAATTCATTCACTGTTTCTTGAGTCTCTTGAAATGAGTGTAATTCCTCCTTCCTTTTGTGTTGGATTTGTGTTGGTTGAAGAAGCAGCCTTCTTAGTCCTGGGCTTGCTTGACCTATTATTTATTTTATTACAGACTCATTACCTACAGAGTCTGGAGTGTCATTTACCATGGTCTTCTCTTTCTCCTGTCTTTTCATGGATATTGAGGCTTCAACAGATTTAATAGTTTGTTACTCTTGGTAAGGTCACTTTATCTCTCTCTCTCTCTGTCTGTCTGTCTCTCTATGACACTGATCACTGGGCTTGAGCTCAGGGCGTAAGCTCGGTCCTTGAGTTCCTTTTGCTCAAGGCTAGTGCTCTACCTCTTGAGCCACAGTGGCACAGTGCCAGTTCTGGCCTTACCTGAGTAGTTTATTGGAAATAAGGGTCTTTCAGACTTTCCTGCCCAGGCTGGCTTTGAATTGGGATCCTCAGATCTCAGTCTCCTGAGTACCAAGGATTACAGTTGTGAGCCCCAATACCCAGCTTTACTTACTTATTTTTGGGCTGGTTCTGGGTCTTGAACTCAGGGACTGATGCTTTGTTTTTTTGTTTTTGTATTTAATTGGAGGTGCTGGTGGCTCATGCCATTAACCACATGGTAGAGTGCTACCCTTGAGCAAAAGAGCTCAGGGATAGATGGGGCTGGGAACGTGGCTCAGTTGTAGAGTGGTTGCCTTGCATGCATGAGGCCCTGGGTTAGATTCTTCAGTACCACATAAGTAGAAAAAGCAGGAAGTGGTGCTGTGGCTCAAGTGGTAGGGCCGCTATCCTTGAGCTGAAGAGCTGAGGGACAGTGTCCAGGCCCAGCGTTCAGGCCCCACTACTGGTGGCCAAAAAAACCCAACAACTCAGGGACATGGCCAGGCCCTGAGTTCAAGTCCTACAACCCACCAAAAAAAAGTCCCACAGACTTTATTGCTTGGGCTATCTATGAACCATGAGCCTCAGATCTCAACCTCCTGAGTAGCTAGGTTAAGCCACCAGCACCTGGCAGTAAGACCACTTTGTTACAAGACAGATAACATGTTTGGGTTGGCCTTTTGTGAGTTTAGAGGCTATTTCTTTTTTGTGTGCTGAACTCTTGGCCTCTTGTTCCTGTTTAGCTTTTTTGTTCAAGTCAAGGCCTCTACTTTTGGCTTTTTGCTGGATATTGGAGATAAGAATTTCACTTATTTAGCTGCCTAGGCTGACTTAAAATTGAGCCACCAGTGCCTAGCTTAGGTTTAGAAACTACCAGTAATTATCCCTTATTTCACAAGGAGTTATAGAATGTTGATTTTGTAAATTTTTATTTTTCTTTATTAGCTGAAATACCTCAGATAAAAACTTCCCATCAATATTTTGTTTTCCTATAGTTCATATGGGGAAAGAGAAATGCTTGGCTATTCTATCTATCTATCTATCTATCTATCTATCTATCTATCTATCTATCTATCTATCTGTCTGTCTGTCTGTCTGTCTGTCTGTCTGTCTGTCTGTCTGTCTATCTGTCTATCTGTCTATCTGTCTATCTTGGTTGGTCTTGGGACCTGAACTCTGGGCCGGGGCGCTGTTCCTCAGCTCTTCAGATCAAGGCTAGTGCTCTACCACTTGAGCCACAACAACACTTCCGGCTTTTTCTGCTTATGTGGTGCTGAGGAATTGAACCCAGGGCCTCATGCATGTGAGGCAAGCACTCTACCACTGAGCCGCCTTCCCAGTCCTTTTTTTTTTTTTATTTACTAGTTTGAATTGGTTCTTCAATTGGGAATCAACAAATATAAGGTTTTATTTGAGAAGTATCTATAGAAGTCTATAGGTGTGGCTCAAGTGATAGAGTATTTGAAGCCCTGAGTTCAAACCCTAGTACTGCCAAAAGAAGGGGGGAAAAAGAAACAAAAAGCAAAAACAAGGCTGAAGTCTTGTTTTATATGCCTATAATTTCTAGCTACTCAGAAGACTGAGATCCAGAGAACCATAATATAGTTCCAGGCCAGCCCAAATATCCAAGTCTGCACAAATAACTAGCAAAAAGGCCTGAGGTGTTACGAGCACCTGTGAACAAGCAAGCCAAATCAATGGAACTAGAGTAGTGGCTCAAGTCTATAGTCCCAGCACTATAAAGGCTGAGGTCCAAGCCAACTCGGACTCTTGGCTTTGAACTGTGATCCTCAGATCTTAGCCTCCTGGGTAGCTAGGATTTCAGGTATGAGTCACCGGCGCCTGTCCAGTCTCTGAGCTTTTTGGCTCAAGACTAGTGCTCTGCCATTTGAGCCACAGCTATACTTCTGGCTTTTTTGATAGTTAATTGGAGATAATAAGTCTCACAGATTTTCTTGCCTGCGTTAGCTTCAAACTGAGATCCTCAGGGCTGGGAAGGTGGCTCAGTGGTAGAGCGCTTGCCTTGCATGCATGAGGCCCTGGGTTCGATTCCTCAGCACCACATAAGCAAAAAGAAAAAAAGCCAGAAGTGGCGCTGTGGCTCAAGTGGTAGAGTGCTAGCCTTGAGCTGAAGAGCTGAGGGACAACGCCCAGGCCCAGAGTTCAGGCCCCACGACTGGACTCCCCCCCGCCCCCCCAAAAAAATGAGATCCTCAGATCGCAGCCTCCTGTATAGTGAATATTATAGGTGTGAGCTACTGCTGCACGGCTATATGTCATGTCCATTATCTTTCTCTGTGCTATAGAAGTCAATTTCCAGCAATCCCAACTTAAATAGCTGTTAGTTTGCGTTAGGCTGAAACACACAACAGTCCCAGAATAACAATAGCAGCAGGACCACCAATAATATGAGTGGTGAAAATTTGTATGCCTTTTTATTTTTTTTGGGTGCTACTGAGGATTGAACCCAGGGTGTCACACAGCTAAGTAAATGTCACTGAACTGCTCTCTGAGCTGCTGTGCCCTTTTGTCCTCAGGATAGGCAGTATGTACGAAATACTGAGTTTTAAAGTCATTTGAAATAGGTCTTTGTAGATTTTCCTACCAACTCAATTAAAATTAGGTTCTTTAATTTTCCTTTAAATTTAAAAAAATAGACACTTAAAGTAACCATATGTATTTACAGGCATGCTGTGACATTTCCATATATGTATATAATGTGTAATGGTCAGAGTGGGGATACTTGTCTGTCACCTCAGACATTTACCATTTCTTTGTGATTAAAATATGCAGTCTTCTCTGCTAGCTATTTTGAAATATACAACTAACGTGTCAACTGTGCTCTATAACGTTCCACTTGCACAACTTACTAATTAACCACTCTTTCTCTTTCCTTCCTTAGCCCATGGATACTTTATTTTTCACTTTGGATTTAAATTATTAGTTAAATTGTATTAATTATTATATAAATCCAGAGTTTTATTAAGTTACGAAAAATACCTGAGGGTTTCTAAAGTCAAGTAATAAATAAGGAATATTGAGAGTAGTTTAGTTTATCCTTGTTTCTTCTACCCAGTTTCCTTCCTTCTTCCTGCATGTGACCATTGTTTACTTTTTTGGCTCCTTCTGATAATATAAGCCCGGAGATGGGAATACAGGTCTCTTGACTTCCCAGCCCAAGTGTTTTCTGGGCAGAATGATTTAAAGTCTTTGACTTCTGTTAACCTCATTCTGTGTGAACAGCCTTTGTTGTGGCTTCTACTATTTTTCCTGTTTTACAGCCTTTATCTCTCCTTCTGGGGCACCTTTTTATCCTAGTAACTAGATGTTTCCAAAGGCAAGAGCTGGAGCAAATTTCTTCACAGCACCTAACTCAGTGATGCACATGTACATATAGCAGACATTCAAACATATGTTGGGTAAATATAAACAGTTCTATTTATGGAGAGAATAAAAGATGGAGTTCTGCCACTTCTAGTTGTGACAAAAAAATAAAGCAAACAAAAAAATCATTAACATCTTTAAGGTGGACTTATGCATGGTGACATACATATTTGTGGTCTCAATACTCAAGAGGCTGAGGCAGGAGGATTATAAATTTATGGCTAGCCTGGTCTAAAATTGAGACCCAAACACTCCCTCCTCCCTACAAAATGGAAATGACAATGATGTAGTAAGAATATACAGCTATAAGAGAAAAAGACGGGTAATATGGTGTAATTCATATGTACCTCTTTTTCCAGTAATATGCATCTGTCATGTTTCTGGCCAAAAGATTTAATAGAGACTGAGCACCCCAAGGTTTTATTGGGAACTGATCATATAACATGCTCTCTTCTTTGTATTTACTAAGATTTTAGACTCTGAAAAGGAAAACCTATGCTCAGTAGAAGCCATGTGATTTGTATTGCCTGGGTACTAGAAGCTAGCCTGTCAGTTGATTGTTGGCTGGGAACACTCAGAGCCAAGTAGGCTAAAGCTCAAGGACTGTGAATAGTAGTGTCAGGCCTTCAGGGTGAACTTTTTTTGCACAGGGTGAAACAAATGATATTCCCTGCTCCAGAGTCTGATTGTCATGGTTAGTCCATGGCACTGATATAGAGGTTGGTGTAGGTAATTCAAGTGTCCTCATCTTTATATTGTTTTTTTCCCCCCCAGAATGGCTTTGACTACTTGTTGACATACAGTGACAATCCCCAGACTGTGTTTCCTCGCTATTGTGTTAGTTGGATGGTTTCCAGCGGTGAGTAGGACACTTGGAACTTGGGTTGAACATTTTGTTTTTCTTTGTTTTCTTAATGCCAACAGAAGTATTAGTGTCTTAATGGAATGCTGCTATGGAAATTTAGCATCCTTCCTAGTTCATTCTTAACTCCAGGTGGATTTAAAGAGATGAGGATTACAGGTATCCAAAAAGGAACTGTTGCCTAGAGAAAAGTTATAAAAACATTGGCTTCAAAGTTTTCAATATAGACTGTATATATTAATGTGTCTAAAAGTTTTGCTTGGTAGAGAAGTGCTGAGCATGTTGGGACATATTTGAAATTATAGCACTTTGTAGATTGAAATAGTTCCAGGCTAGTCAAGGAGATCCAGTAAGACCCTTTCTCAAAATAGGTAAGAAAAGAAGAGTTGTAAGCCTTATGTCTAGCTTGAGGGGCAGTCAAAGCATATGTGTTTACATGTCATAACTGTAACCACATTTTCCCTTTCTATTTTCTTGTCTTTGAAACATCCTTATGTGGTTTTCTTTATTTTGGTTCTCTGTATTTTCTTTCTTTTTTGGGGTGGGGGGGGCAATCCGGTCGTGGGGCCTGAACTCAGGGCCTGGGCGCTGTCCCTCAGCTCTTCAGCTCAAGGCTAGCACTCTACCACTTGAGACACAGCGCCACTTCTGGCTTTTTTCTTTTTGCTTATG